AAAAAAAAATTGAGGAGGTTTTAAAATGTTACCTAAATATTAAAGACATTTGTGCCTAGTCAGGTTTCTCCTGCAATCATCAGAAACGAGATCTCAGTTCAATTCTACTTCAAAAGTATGATGATCAGCAGTTTGAACTTGAATTTCCAATGCCCTCTTTCTATTAGTGACAAGTGTCTCTCAGGATATATATTCTTCTTAAGGTTTGATTAAGCACCTCTTAAGTAGTTTATCCTCCTTTATTTTGTGCAATAAACCTCCTGTTGAGGCGTGAAAATACTTAAGGGAAAGTTGTTTTTTTTCCTCAGTCAGATGCAATTTAGCTTGTTTTAAAAGTGACTGTGACTAAATAGCTACCTTATTTGTCTACAAATTAGTTATTTAAAATCTTGTGCCACCTTGAAATGTTCTCTTTGTGTCAGGGGTTGTTTTTGCTCGTGGTGAAAACTGGAAGGTGATGCGAAGATTTACTCTTACAACTTTACGAGACTTTGGAATGGGAAAAAGGGCCATTGAGGATCGCATTGTGGAGGAGTATGGGTATCTGGCAGACGTCATTGAGTCACAAGAAGGTGGGTACATGATTCATTCTTCAAACCTCCAAGGTTTTGTTCAAGTATCCAGAGCATTGCCAGTAACCTTCTCAAGTTCAGACCTTTTTAAGAAATGTACTTCAGGCTGAATCAATTTGATGAATTTGGCTCCTCTGGCATTTTTGTGTGTTGGCATGGCATTCTAACATTGAACAATAATCAATAATAGCAATCAATCATAACGAATAAAGAGCAATAACTAGTTTTAAATTTACATTTACAAATTACATCTCTTGCCACAATGTAATACATTCTTTTGTTCATTGCATAGGAAAGCCCTTTGATGCTAGTAAAATAATTAATGCAGCAGTTGCTAACATAATTGTGTCAATGTTACTTGGAAAACGGTTTGACTACAAAGACTCCAAATTTGTGACACTTCTACATTTGACCAATGAAAGCATGAGGCTTGCTGGGAAACCTTTGGTTACGGTAATGATAAACACTTTTATGTTGCTGTTCCACTGAATGCTACAGGAACATAGTAACATTGTTAGTTAATTGTTTCTATCAAACAGAAAAATCTGAAGACTCTGAGAGATAACAGGTTTACAAACACTTTCTGGGGCAAAACAAAGCTTGAGAGACAGTCTGGGAATCTTGAAGCCAACAATCAAACCCCAGTGTCTCAAAAACTTACTTAAAATATAGCTTGAAGAGTGCTAAATCTGGACTGAAAAAAATCAGACCGCATAGTGCATGAACAGCAAGTTCAGCAATCCCCAAAAATATGGTTCACATGTATAAAGTGACCAGGCAATACAGTACACTCCCAGAACATGGGGCAAGAAATTATAGAATATGTGGTCTACCTGTGCAAGGAGCCCTGATACAGAATTTATTTTCCCATGCTTCTAGTACACTGAAATGTCTTAATGAGTAATAAAGACTCTCTGATACTGGCATGCAATGCTGCCGCACACCAGATTCACTTCTGTTCCTTTAGGCTTTGAAATAGAAAAAAAAGGTTAGCAGAAGAGGTGGCTAAAACAATAAAAAAAGTTGCTGGTCAACACTTCCATCTCCCTGGTGGCAAGCTGCAGGTGTATGAGTCTGACATCTACGCTAAACAATAATTTGGGACTGAGAGTTTTCCACGTATTTGGTGGTCCTTGATGGATTTTCCACCATGAATTTGTCCAAACACTTTTTCATGTTCTAAACAACAAAATATTAATATTAAGTCTTTGCCTTTGCATCTGCACAATGGGCACAATATTATTAATTTGTTTCTGTAGTGTTTTCAGACCTCTGGTGAATAAATTCTGTCTGTCTAACATCTTTTACTCTTGTAGATGTACAACATGTTCCCATATCTTGGATTCCTCCTAAGGGCTAACAAGACTATTCTCCGAAACAGAGATGAAATCCATGCTTATGTACGAGTTACTTTTCCAGAACATCTCAAAACCCTAGACAAAAATGATCAAAGAAGTTTTATTGATGCTTTCCTGGTTAAACAGCAGGAGGTAACTGAATCTTTTCTCATTCATTCCAACTTTTATGGTTATATGAAGACATTTACAACTTCATGGCAGTCCTTATAATTATAGCTATATTTCTTTAGGGAATCTATCTTTGACAAAACACATATAACGAACTGGTAGAGTTGATCAGATATTTCACTCTGTTGCAGTTCCAACCCCTTTTAATCAGCAAACATTTATCCTTATTTATGCTTTTCTTCAGACTGTATCAATATATTTACAGATGCTGCATCTTTTTATCTGCTCTCTCTGTTGTTCTAGCCCTTCTGGCTTTTTCAAAAACATAATGCATTGCAGAACAAAAGCATTACCTGGGCTTTACTGGGATCATTATTTGGGATCTCTGATGCATCTGGGTTATCTTCTTCATAGACAAACCATCTCTTTTTGCAACTAGCCCCAGTAAACACAGAGATCATGCAAAACTTAAACCTATGTCAACACTCTTCTCCAGGTACGAGCCCACAAAGCCCCAAAGCTCTTCTTTGTCTTTCACACTTTTTTAAAATACAGGACTTCTTTCTTAGTAAATGTTTAGCTACGTAAATTGCATCTTCACATGGAAGGCTTTAAATTTTCATCCTTTCATCTCAACCACTTCTTTCAGGAGCAATCCACTACCAATGGGTATTTCCACAACGGCAACTTGCTAAGCTTGGTGAGCAATTTGTTTACTGCTGGTGTTGAGACAATTTCCACCACACTGAACTGGAGCTTTCTGCTGATGCTAAAGTATCCTGAAATTCAGAGTAAGTAGTTTTTTCACAGATGCTGTTACACTCTGTGCATTAGGAACTGAACAGGAACCTGGAGGGTCCACATATCTGTTAATACATGAAGTTACAAAAAGCCAAGATTTCCAGCTAAATATTGTCAAGGTATCGCTGTGCCCTGTGGTTCAAACCCAGCGAGGGGGACACTAGTCAGCCTACCAGTAGAGTATAAACAGAGTTCATATGGGCCAGGTCCTTTCCTAAGTAGAATCTCATTAATTAAAGAGCAGAGAGCTGTCTTGTGCTGGCCAATGAAATTGTTCTGTTTCCCTCAGAAACAGGTTGTTGATAAACCAAAGGCCTGTCCAGATGTTAAATGGACTATATCGAGGCTTTAAATGAGAAGATTCAGGGAATTGCTCTTTGTCGGACATCTCCATTCCAGTTTGTGGTAAACAGTTGTTAGGAGTCAAGTGGGGTTTTTGAGACACCTCTTGGTCAGAGTAAGAAACTTTAGGCAGAAGAGAGGGCAGAAAAAGGCAAGTCTTTAGGTTTCTTATTGGTAAAGAAATAATTAAACACTGTAGTTCTGTCCACCTCCCATTATTTCTGAAAGGAAAAAATATTTTGGGAGAATTTATGGTTTTCACTCACAGTCTTTTATACTTTATATCAGTAAACACGGTATGTCTCAGGGATGAATGAGTGCTTGTACCTTTCTTATAGATGATTCTTTCCTCAGGAAAGGTCCACAAAGAGATAGAGCAAGTGATAGGGTCAAACCCTCCCCGGATCGAGCATCGAACTCAGATGCCATATACTGATGCTGTCATCCATGAAGTTCAAAGGTTTGCTAATATCCTGCCATTGGATTTGCCTCATGAGACTGCTGCAGATGTCACTCTCAAAGGCTATTTCATTCCCAAGGTGAGATGCCTACAGAACTGTTTCTTTTAGCACTTCTTTCTCCAATCTGGTTAATGTGATAAACATGAACTCTCTAATGAAGTCACATAACAGCAGTCAGAATAATCTTTCTCCAGGCTGGCAATCTTCAAGTCTTATTGCCATTAGTGCCACCACAATATTTGTCCATGGATTAATTCCATTGTCTTATTTTGCAGGGAACTTACATCATTCCGTTACTGACCTCTGTCCTGAAAGACAAATCGCAGTGGGAGAAACCAGATATGTTCTACCCTGAGCACTTTCTTGACGCCAATGGAAAATTTGTGAAGAAAGATGCTTTCATGCCTTTTTCAGCAGGTGCCTTCTCTTTTCCATTTACTGCTGTTGCAAGTACAGATGTTACAGAACTACTTGTACCTGCAGTTACTGAAGCCTGGTCTCCACGCTGTCTTTTTCATGGGACCATTTCACAACCCATATTTCACAGATTTCTCAGGGTACACCTCTGATAAGAGAGAATGCTCACAAATGTCCGCTAATTCATCCAGCCTCTGGATGTTATTAGTTTCTCAGTTAGTATTCAATGAATATAAATGAGAATTAAATATGAGGGAGGTTTTCAGCAAATTCCATGATAGTTTAGATAACACATTTCTACATTATAATCTGTATCCCACAACTGCTCTACGGCCTGGGCTTCTTTGTCTCTGACTCTTACCATATCCAGCTGCATTGTCTATGATCACACAGAAAGCACATAGGAAAGATGGCTTCTGTGTCTTTCCTTGGCAACTATGTTTCATTTTTGCATGTCCCTTTTAAAACATCACGAATAATGTCAGCTGGGATCAAGACTTCATATACTATGCCAACAAAGAGGAGTTGCCTTATATAAAAATCCAGATTTTACATAAAATCAAAGGACAGAAAGAAGTCGCATTGTGAGGCTTCCACAGAGCACGATGTTCACCTAAGCTTACACACCTGCACCATTTGCCAAAGCATGGGAGATTCCAGCCCCCATGATGATTGCTTCTTCTCTGGCATTTCTCCTGCTTGCAGGCTCTGTCATCGCTCAATTAAGCTCCTACACGTTTCTGGTTAATGTGTCTATCATATCCACAACACTGCATTTTTTATAGACCTTATTTGTGTATTTTTAATTCTGCATCATATTTGAGTAAGGTTTTTTCTTGTCATACTCACCATCCAACATAGAGTAAATAATTTGTTTTCATAGAAGGACTTACAATACTTCCAATTCACAGGCCTTCTTTTTCAGGTTTATGTCTAGATGTCCTAGCTGAAAGCACATCCAGGGAGCGTCAGGTCCGAGCATTCCCTGGAGGGCTTATTTCACAGCATAGCCATGCAATAGCTCTTCATTTTTCTACTTTCTGTCATACAAGAGAATTAAAATCAAATCTTAGTTCAGGTTTTTGTTAGTTTTGGCCTTGAATCATCATGTTTTGATTAAGGCAGTTTACAAGCTGCTGAATTTGACCAGAACTCAGAAAAATTTATAGTCATAATGCTTTTGAAGAAAGGCTTATCTTAGGGGCTCCATAGACTATCTCCACCACCTTCCCCCTCAGTCCCACTCTAGCCAGCATTTGTGAGTCTCCAAGGTCTTTTCTGACAAATTTTAAAATAAAAAATTGTGTGTGACTAGACTAATAGAGCCAAAGTTAGTCTGGGATCCAGAAATTTAACCAAGTAGAGGAAAAATCTGAAAATGAAGAAAAATACAAATGTTATTGAGAACTGGAATTAAGGAATTCAGATTGTGTTTCCATGTATTTCTCCCCAAATACCAGCATTTAGACAAAGGAAAAGAAAAAAAATTACCAGGTGGCTTTGTTATCATACCTCAGAAGACCAAGTATGCTCTCTCTCAGATGATTCTTGTACTCCATAGAATTTTAAGAGCTATTGTGTTCTTTATTCATAGCTAGGATATGACATTTCAAGTGTTCTGGATTCCCACTAATCTTCCTCAGAATAAGAGCTGCTCAGAGGTTTTTATTTCTTCAACTATTGAAGCAGCAGCTCCCATTGACTCTCTTATGGCCATTCTGCATTTCGTTCCAGGGAGGAGGATATGTGCCGGTGAGACTCTTGCCAAAATGGAGCTCTTCCTCTTCTTCACCAGTCTCCTGCAGAGGTTCACCTTCCACCCTCCCCCTGGAGTTTCCATCTCAGACCTGGACCTCAGCCCTGCTATTTCATTTAACGTCATCCCCAAACCCTATAAAATGTGTGCTGTAACACGTTCCTAGAGTTCTAATCAGCATCAATTAATTTCAAGAATGTTTAAATTACTTTTTCATTATATCTGCCTTCTTAATTCTTTGGCCAAAATAATTTACAGCATTACATCTTAATGACGGTTTCCAGTACTTCTAAAACAAAGTGGTGTTCTTTTATTTATCAGAGGAGGGCAGAAGTGGACCAGAAGTGTGGACTAATTGATGACTCATGGATTAACCTATTGGATCACCTAATCCGAGCTAAATAAGACAGATCCTCAGCTTTCACACTCTTGATTCAATTTTCACTTGGTAACGTGTATTTGTTGAAAGCATATCCCCCAGCAACACTCCCAAGTACCAGTTTCTCCAAAGAGACATAAGGAGCACGAAGGTGTGCCCAGTTTGTACTATTCTGCTTAAAGATAAGCACTGCAGAGCCTCTGTGGTGAACGTGGGATGTTCAGAGCTTCAGGTCTTCAGAACAGAAGGGCTGTTTGCTCTTGGCAGGCAGATGTGTTTGAAGCTGGGTTGGATATATCAATACCTTATTGCAGCTTCTCCCCTTGGCTCTTATCTCTAATCCTTCCCCTTTTTGGGAGCATTCAGTCCCTGCCTCTACCTGGGCAGTAATCAGTACTGACTCTCAGTGGTATGCTTTAAAGCTCAACTTTTCTCAGGTTGTCTATTTGACTTGGCACTAGAAGGACAAATATGCCCTGTCCTGTCATTTCTCCTGAGAGTAGGTGTTGAAGCAAGACAGTCATTCCTTCTCCTCAAAGGAGACACTCCTCTGAACATTCTCTTCTGTTTGATCTCATCCTCTTAGTTTGGGGGGGGGGGGGGGGGGGGAGTGTGTGTGTTTCATATCAACACTTCTCCATATGCCTTTGTCTCCTTACTCAAAAAAGATTCCAGTCATTAGGCTGTAAATAATTAAATAATTATGAGGAGATTTGATCCACTTTAAAGTTGATATACAGAGTACAATTCAATTGCTTTAATTCCAAGCCTTTACCACCATTTTAGATACTCTCAGATCTTTTGCTTGGCCTTCAGCTGCCTGGCTGGGGGGACAGGTCCTGTGCCATACAAGCCCCGTGTGTATGTTTCAGATAGTCATAGAATCTTAGAATCATTTGGGCTGGAAGGGACCTTTAGAGGTCATCTAGTCCAACCCCCCTGCGGTGAGCAGGGACATCTCCAACTAGATAAGGTTGCTCATAATGTAGGTATTTCAAACATCTATGAGTGTTTAAATGTAGACTGCTAGATAGAGACTAATGATTAAAGACTCAAAAGGGAAAATAATATGAGAATCCAAAAATTGCATGAGCGATTGCATCATTTTTATTTTCAGGAGCAAATTTACCCTCCTCTTGAATTCTTCTAATGTAATAATTTCTTTTTAATTTTAAGGAAATTTTTTACAAAGGAGTAGTAAATTTCTCATTTTAGTTCTAGTTTAGTTTAGTTTAGTTCTCATGTTTATTTTAGTTTCTGGATTTGCAAAGGTGTTAGATGGAAAGGAAATTTAGCCTGAAGTTTTTATTTGTTTCCAAATTCCAGAGGCGAAGACTTTTAAAACTCGTGTCTCTCCTACCTTCCAATCCAGGTGGCAGAGCAGGTGCAGGTGAAAACCTTGCCAAGACAGAGCCTTTCCTGTTCTTTACAAGAGTCCTGCAAAAATTTATGTTCTTTCCTTCCCCTGGAGCACCCATTTCAGGTCTGAACACAGTAAGGTTCACTAGCCTTGAGTAGATGTTTTAGGACCTGGCCTATGACTTGATAGTTAGTTTTGCTAATACATAGATCCACACACTCCTGTGATCACAGAGGATTGTACAGGTGTAATGGTGACAGGAATCTATTTTTTTCACCTTTGGCAAACATTTATAGAAGTCTCCAAATCACTCCTTCAGGCTGGCCATTTTGAACAATACACAGTTGTCTCCATTTCCAGTAGAGGACAGACCAGAAAAGCAATGCCAAAGGATGGTTTAACTTGCTAGATACTGTAGCAGAATACTCCTACATATCTTCATGGTGCTTATTGAGCTGTATATCCTCATGTTGTTATCCCCTCTGAAGCACCAACTATGCTAATCATACATCCTCATTATTGGGTATTTTGCATCTCAGGGGGAACTTTAAAAAATCAGAGCTGCTGCACTGGAAGTTGTAGTACTCCAGATCCTCACAGCCTCTGTTGCTATTTAGCCTAGGGCTTCTGCGAGAAAAACTGACGTAACATATAGGACATTTCCACTGCAATCTTATGTGTGTCTGTCTTCCGAGCTGTGTTTGCACTTGGAGAAAGTAACTTTTTTCATCAGTTAGCTGATATCTGTGAAAATTACAATTTAATTAGCTTTACTAGGAATAAAATTATTTCTTTCATTCTCTGGCCCTCAATTTTAAATGTTAAAAACATTTATGGAATTATGGGATGGTTCCACTGAAGGCAAGGTTTGAAAACCGGAATCACTGAGGAAAAGGTATTAGAAGTTGGTGATCACATTTCATTTCCTGAAGCTGTTCCTTCTCATATCATCAAAGTACTCAAAATGAATCAGATGTTTGCATTTCTTGCTCCTATTAACCTTTAAACAAAACACGTTTATCTTGGTAATATAAGAAATCTAATGTAACAAGAAGTCTTGCATTTATCTTATAAATAAAGATTCCGAAGCCATAGAAAGAGT